CCAAGTTTATGTTGGTATACTTCGCTGCCGCGTAGTAAAACTCTTCGCCGCCAGGGGCGATATTAGAGTAAATGGCTGCCATCGAAGACAGGGGAGCCTTTTGTGTCCTGGATTTCCGCGTTCACCGGTCTGTTATTAGTGTGCAACGGCATTTCCGAACCACGTTTGCGGCAGATCCACCCAGTGGGCATACAATTCGTAAGTGGTATTCCGAATTTAAGAAAAGGGGCTGCATCTATAAGAGAAAATCAATCGGCCGCCCGTCAGTAAGCGAGGAAACAGTGGAGCGGGTCCGTGCAAGTTTCACACCCAGCCCGCTGGATGTGTGCCGAGTTACCAAGGGGGCTCACATTGAACACCTGTGATGTACTGAAACAAAACTTGGAGAGTTTCTCTTTCCATCGGTACCAGTTTTGTGCGTTTGAATTTCATTGAACGTGAGTAGCATGTCTTTCAAATCGGGAACATAATTTAGACTATCCCTGTGTATGAATTTTCCCCGTTTTACGTTATCACAAAATAACAATACTGAAACATTGGGTATGCCACCTCCTTTGGAAACCCATCTAGATTTTGAAATGAGAGAAGCTAAGAGTGAAAAAACTTCATTATCATTCGATTTACGCTCCAGAAACATAAATTATGTGTTCCTTTGTCGACAGTTGCGAACATGGTGTAAAGTCGACAGAATATGAATTTAAGTTACAAATTCTTTCCGAAAATAATGTGTCACTACTGTCACTAATACATTGCCGGTCACAGTGGCCGCGCGGTCTCAGGTGTGGGCTTCGTGCTCTTGGGTTCGAATCCCACTCAAGGCACGGATGTTTGTCCGCGTCTTCCTGTTTCGTGGTGTCTTGTATTCAGGTAGAAGCCTTGCGACGGACTGATCACTCGTCCAAGGAGTCCTACCAACCATCTAAATAGATCAAGAAACCTCCGAAAGTGGGCCCCTATGTTCCACACATCAACGAAAAGGATATAAAGATGAAAAAATAAGAAGACTTACCACATTCACAGTTGGAAGCGATAGAAGAAATTCTGACTCGATTGAGTTTTACGTACGCATGAGCACGGTAACCCATTAGCTAAATTGTATCTTATTGTTGGATTATGAAGTCACGTTGCTTAAATTAAGCTTCAGACGCAATGTGTTTATAATAGTGACTCTTGTGCAATAGGGAAGTAAATCCTCATAATTTTAGTTGATTAGAGAAAGATGGACAGAATTGTACAGGCAATCTAAAGTGAAAAGAGTTTGTACATCCCGCTCTGGTTCTGTCTACTGAAACCCCACTATTAGCCTTGCTACATTTTTGATTGATGATTAATACATCTTAATAAAGTTTTCAGGTTATTGTATTTGCTAAACAGGTGGCGTCGTCGTTTCTTGACTACTGTTACAGTAATTAGGAAGAGACGCTTCTATTTCGTTACCCATTCAGCCTGATCCCAGTATAAATTGTGTGTTTGAGAAAATTCCAAGACTATAATGACAGTTGTTGCACATTCATCAGCTGTTTCATTATGAATGCGCTCCATAGGTTAGAAACCTCATTGGGATTGCCGCCGTGTCGTCTTTAATGAAACAGACGCTCGATAGGAAGTTACATAGCCCGAGAACACGAGCCATGTTAAGACGAATTTAATTTGTAGTTGTTCACCTTCTCACATGAGTTCTGTGATTAATTTAATTTGAACTTGATTTTATAACTGTGGGCTGTTCTTTATGAACGACGCCAAGTCATGAATTGTTCAGACCCGTACAAAGAAGGATTCTTTCGCCTAGTTACTATGGTCGTATATAAAGTTTCCGTAATTCAATACAGACTTTCGTAAATACTCATTCGGTTATAATAAGTAATATTTCCGTCTACGCAACACATTTATTGAATATTAATTATATATTAATGACAGCTGCTGCAGTATATCCACAGCATATTTCTGTCTAATGTGACAGTTATGTGGCGTACAATTATGATTAAAAGGTAAAAATTTAGCTGTGTGATATATTTTAATACATTGTCTGAAAAGAAATGAACAGCAACCGCATCCCACAACTGACATTTAGATATCAACCTGGCGGAAAGAGGCACTTGGGCCGACCACGTCAAAGATGGGAAGACCAAAACACCACCGGGAGCAATAATGGAACAGGTTCTTAAAGACCTAAGCCGGATAGGTCCATGATGATGATGATGATGCGTGTTAAGAGATTAAAATATTCACTATTAGAGCAATAAAACAGCCACGTCTTCAAATTCATGTGTACGCCTCCAGCCAAGTGTTGTTTACATATTCCATAATTGGCAAAGAAACGCAGATGGGGGACCCCCCCCCCGGATTTGGTTACCAGTAGCATTTTCGATATTAATATAACGCACATTCCGTTATAATATACCAGACATTTCAGTTATTAACTTTTTCACAGCTGTACGATTTGGCTTAATATTTCTTTGTGCAGACGGTAAATAATAATTGTTATACAATATCACACTACAGGATGTCTAACCTGATGATCCTTCGCTTAGTTGCTGTGATTTGCATAAACATGTCTTGCCTTAGTTACCGTAGATTTTCACAGAAGGGTTCATTCACTGTTAACTGTAGACATCTATAAAAATTCCATCGTTTAGATAACGTACACTTGAATGCAGATTCCTTTACGTATTCAGTGGAGATGTACATTAAGATTTTATCACAGTGACCGCTCCTGGCGTAAATGTAATTCACTTGGTTACCGTAAACTAAAAGTGTCTTCACTTTCTTAATGGAGACCTGCATAGATTTTGATTCTCTTTGTTACAGTGAATTTTCGTGTAGTGTTACTCACTGATACCTGTAGACTCGCTTAAAGATTCCTGTGCTTAGATGCTGCAGACTTGCTAAAGATTCTTTATTGCAAAGTTAGGGGAGACCGGGGTACGTTGGAACAAAATTAGGTTTATTTTTCTCTTTAGTATTTAGTGATTATACTAAAACTCATGAGGCATTTTAACCACATATCATTTATGGGCACGTATAAATAAAGTTTGAGGGTCTGCAAAAGTCATATGTTGTGATTAATATATTGCATAAATGTGTTAAAATGTAGCTTGTTTTGTTTCCTGCTTAAAGAATGCAGGCAGATGGAAATCGGAAGGAGCAAGGTCTGGACTGTCTGATGGGTAGTAGAAAACTTCAAATTTCATTTCCTGAAAGGTTTCCTTGGCATGGACAGGAAAATGAGGTCTGGCGTTGTCATGCAACAGAATAACACTGTGCATTTCTTTTTTCAAATAGCTGATTTAATTTCGCCTAGCAGCATTCTACATATATGTTACACTTAGTACCGTGGTTCTCGTCTTTTGATAATAACGTAAAAAATGCTGATTCTTTATGAATCACCTGCTTAAATATTCCCCATTGGGTCTTTGTGTTTTTACGTGTATTATTTCAGAATGAAGAGGCTGTCCTGAATTCTAAAGGTTGTGGTAGCGGCCGGGGTTTGATTTCTTCTGACACTAGAAGCGAATGCTGTTATACCTTGAAACAGGCCACAACCGCTTCCATGCAAGATATTTCCACTCACCGTACACAATCCTCGCATGTTATTAGTCCCTACAGTGTTTTTTAAGTAGCCTTTAACAATCCTTGGGGGGCCGCAGTGGAGGCTGTACTTCACATGGCTCTGTTTGTTGGTTTATGGGCCTGTACCGCCGTTCCTAACGAGACCCTTCTCTGGCGCATTGCGGGCCCCTTCCCCTTCCCTTTCCCGGACTTTGTTCCTTGGCGTTATCTCTGCTTCACTTCCTTCGGCATTTCCTATTTCACCTTTCCTTTATACACTTCGAAGCCGTGTATCTGCTTTTCTTCCTTTGTTGTGCTGCGACGTCTTCCATAACATCATTATTTTCGGAAGAGAATTTTATCTCCCCAGTTATATTTGCTTTTGCACGATCCTGTTTTATTTACTGGTGTATTTTTGTTGCGTTGTTGATTCTCTGTTTAGCCAGGATTCTTAACAGTAAACGAAAACGCCTTTAAGGCGGTACATTGTATGATTTTGTGACTGAATAGTATCGTCCCCCGTGCAAACTTGTGAGGTGACAGAAACTTTGGCGCCCTTCAGTACAGGATCATAAATAGTAAATGATGTATGGTGTTGAGCCTTGTAAAATTACGTCGGCCTACCTTCGATAAATTGCTTAATCGGGGCAGCCGCTTAATTGGACAAGGGTTGTAGTCCCTATGCGTCCCAATTAACCGGAATCGATTGTATTGCCAATCTGAAACGGAAAACACAACGACCGTAAGATAGACTAGACTTAATTTTGTGAGGAGGCGAAGGGCGATCATGGGTTTGATTCCACAAGGACGCATGCTTCTTTACTTCAAATGACAAAACCTTAAGGGTGTATAAATCTTGAAATTACTCTTAACAAACATTTGCACGGATGGAGGTGAAAATAATGAACTCACTTGTGGCTTGTGACAGGGGTTATGCGATTTGTGACCACCTTCAAAAGTCGCACAAGAAAATCACTTGAACACTGAAACATAATACTTATTTTATTTAGTTTTGACATTCAGCGTGACAGACGTCGGATATCATATTGGAGGACAGCAGATTTGATACTTTGGAACCCAAAGTGGCAGAATTATTTGGGAATGTTCATAATGTATATTCTATCTTAGAGTGACACGTAAGAGCTGTAATTGTGAGTAAGTAGACTGAGTTCCATTTGCAGAAGAGGAATTGCCAATTTTTACGTCCAGAATGTGTTTAAAGCTACCCCGTCTGATAGCCATGCGGCACCTCGGGATACTTAAGGGCGAATATTGGCAGCATGATCATCGAGATGACCACTTATCTTCTGGTACCGACGCTAAAAATGCGTATTACTTACTGTTTCCCTGTGGTTTCGTGCGTTAGCCCAGAGATACGTCCACGTTACCGTAGTGTGGAGTGAGTGCAGTGGAAGTGTTGTGGTGTGTAACTTTGTGTCTTTCGTTTGCAGAACGTCCTGCGGGAGCTGGAACAGAAGAAGCCGCAGCTGGACGAACTTGTCCACACGGCTGAGAACCTCAAAGCGGACTCCAACCGCCAGCAACTACACGGGAAAGGTAGGACAATCGTACCTTCACTTGGAAATTGCACTGTCTTGAGTTTCCTTTGTAATGTTCACTTGTGGGTTTCTTCTGTGAATTGTTAGTAAGTAACACACAATCCTACAGAGCCATTAAATTACCTTGCCCATCAAAATGTGATCGAGCTTTCTGTAACTAAGAGACTGAGAAAACGATTCACTGATTTATATCGAACTATTTGACATCGGTTAATCCGTAACAGATCGTTTGACGGGCATACTAACTACCTTTTACGCAAGTATCGGTATCAGTAACTTACCGGCGTAGACAGATTAATAGATTTTTAATTCGCCCTTGAGATCGAATAGTATTTGATTCAGGATACGAAAAGTCGATTTATCAGCGTTTAAAACATTAATCGAGAATACGTTATGATTTAGGCCTACTGTGAAAGTCCGTAGATAATTTCAGGTTATTGTTCGTAAATTGTTTTGTTTCAAATAGTGCTTGGTCCACTGTGAAAGTCGGCAGTGATTTTTGAACGTTGCGGACGCTCAGATTCTACGCAAGTTTTGTTATAAGGCATGCAGAAATTTGTTCAATATCTCAGGTTATTCACAAACATTCTGGATAACACTGTATTTTGGGTCAGCTGTTAAAGTCCCTACTGAATTTAGAAGGTGGAGTTGGGGAAATCCAAGTTTAATATTAGTTTCAAAATACGCAGAAATTTGTGCGAAGTGGCAGGTCAGCGTTCTAGTGTTTCGTGCTGAATCTGGTAATTAGAGAACTTATTAACTTCTAAATAACAGTTACCGTCATTGAGTATTGTGTACATAAAGGGGCTAACGTCCGTCCGTCTGTCCACATGATTCAACTTGACAACTGCTGAACGGATTTGGATGAAATTTGGTATAGATTTTATGCCATTCGTACTTTCCGATTTCCTATAATTCGTACTACCAACGTGGAGAATGAACGAACTTGTGAGGTGGCAGCGACTCTAGCGCCACTTGTACAGTAGGGCCATACAGTTATGCATGGCCATGTAGACTTTCAAGAAATACAGGACACTGTAAAAAGTATGCTTTTACGTTGTAAAATAAGAACAGAAAGGCTGCATAAAATATTTTAATATCACCAGGATTGAATCTTGTGATTCAGTGTGTATGAGCAAAAAATACTAAGACAGAGCTACATTGTTATTGATCTACATTACTTAAAGAAGACATTAAGAACACGTGATGTTAAACTAAAGTAATGTAAGTGAGATGAGTGGAATCAACTTTTACTACTGTTTGTTCTTTTAAAACTAACAAGTCAACAGATATTATAGCATAGGCTAGATATTTAATTTATTGATCAGTTTGCATTACGAACTCAGGGCCCTCTGAATCTACGTACTTCGCTCAAGAATCAGTTTTCGACAAACAAATAAATCAGCAGAGAAGACATTTAATATCTAAAACGCAAGTCCATGCATTTTAATGATAATAGTGGAAAATATGTACGTTGCAGTACAATTTTCTATTTATTTTGTGAATAAGCAGATAAGTAAGTTAATGAACCCTATGTTGAAGAGATCCGCTGATATTTTACACTATTTGAGATTTTTGCTGCTTTCATGCGATCGATACTAATGTTGACGATGGCGTGGTGTGTTGGTGATTTTTAGTTTTTATTTCAGCTAGGGGCGTTCAGAATTCATGATAACACTTTCCATTTTATGAAGCATTTTGGTCACGGAACAGAATCCTAGTAGATTTCGCCCTGATGACGGAGGCAGTATGACCTCTGCAACGTTGGTAAACATCAACCAGACTACACAGCGCAACAACCCAGAAGATAGAATTCTTCATACTCATCGCTGTGAAAACCTCAAATTATACATAGAATCCTAGTAATTTTCCAAAAGAGAATTGCCCCTTGTCTTAATGCCGTATTCTTGCAGAATGTTGCTATATCAGTGCATGGTTGTATCACCATTTAGATTGTCACGTAATAACGACTCATTGTCGTTTTATCTACTTTATTACACAGTAATTGAGTCACATCTCTGCTATCTGTTAAATTAGTGGCCTTTGCGTTATATCCTGTTAAACAGCTTCTTAATTGCTTTACTCATCCATTCGAAACTTGGAAGACTTACCAAATGTGCTGAAAACCATCCGAAAAGTTAACTGTGGGAGACGTCTTGCGCAAGCGCAAGGCGTTGATCCTTTCTAGGTTACACCGTTTCTGCGTACGAAACGCGTAGCTGGACCCGGAATACGGTGCCTTTCAACCATAACTTAGGATATACGCTAACGGGATTTTGTCTTAGTTGAAGGCCTTGACGTGTTGAGACTAGGGAATTTTGCTGCTGGAGGGAGGATAATCTCATCAAACAATGTGTCCTTTGCGAAACTTTGGTTGGATGGGTGTCTGGGAGTTGTACCCGGAAGGGTTGGGGTAGCTTTGGCTAAGAGCCTTCATGATTGCGTAGTAGGCGAGCCGTGTCCCTTTTAAATTACACCCGCCGCTTGCCTTACAACTGAAGAGAAGTAGGATTTGAGGTTTTAACGGCGGTGAGTCTGAAGATGGCTGTCTTCTGGGGTTTTGCGCCATGTGTCTTGTACAAGTTTACCGACGTTTCAGAGGTATTCAGTCAGGGTAGTCGACACCTGTGGTGTCGACTTGACCACCTTGTTAGGGGGAAATGTGCTCTTATAGGTAATTTTATAGATGATACGCCTCTAAACCTGGAAGAAAAATGTACTTTTATTGTATTGAAGTAAGCTAATAATAAACTGCCCAAGGCAGTACTGGACAATTACTGTGGCGGTAACAGGGTTGGGAAAGACCTAAAATCTATATTAATCACTGCGCAACTATTTTGACCAGTTACAAATCCATTACATTGTGCCCCATCTTTTTTATGATGTGTAAAAAATGTGTCTCCGTCTAACTGCGGCCGCCTAATTGTCTTTCACACAGATTATACATGAATTAATATGAAGCATCTTTGAAATTATAGTAGTAGGGGAAACCGAAGGGCTCAGAGATAAATCTATCTTAGTGTCATCGTTTATATCAGCAAATTTTTGCGTGGTGTGATTATAAACATTCTTGTGTTTTTAGATTGCATTAATGTCTTGTTTCTTGAACAGGGTAAAATCGGCGAGTTCATTTCATAATATATAGGCCTACCAATTAAAGGTGTTGATCAGGTATACTTGATGATAGTTTAGGTTTTGACGGCGTTGAATATACGGGTTGTGATATAGGTTGTGACACACTGCAGCCTTGAAAGTGGTTAGAAAAGCACAGGCTGAAGATCAACGCGTTTGAAATAATATTCACAGCGCCATAATACTTGTATGGGTACCGGGAAAGAATAAAAGAAGAAGAAGAAGATCATTCAGCGAATGATAATGCGCGCTCTGAAATACAAAGTCAGCTATTTTGATACGATAAAATAAAAAATATAACAAATGAACCTGTAATGTCGATTCTTTAATTTACTTGTATTTGTTTGTCATTAAGTAACGGTTATTGAAAACTGAAACCGAAATCGTAAATTTTGTTGACAGATGAATTTAATGAAGTTAGACCAGCGTACCCCCACTGAATCACTACTGGAACCCGCGGACCCATGAGCCATTTTTACGATTTGAGTCTCCAAACAATACACAGTTACGAAATATTTTATTTAATTCACATGCGAAAAATATACAAAAAATCGGAATTTTAATTTTTATGAGAAGATTGATGCTGCATCTCAGCGGCTAGCTTTTCAGAATTTGGTTTTATTGCTTAGAGTTTAATTCTGAGGTCAGATTCTAAATTTATAAAGAGGTTTTCTATATTTATTTTTTAGGTTCAAAAGAGCTGAGAAAGCTTTTTCACATAAATAGATTGTGGGGAATGGAATTAAAACATTCAGTTACTTTTTACGATAATTAGGGATAATCCGTTTCGTACATGCAGCCAGAGACTTTTTTTTAAAATGAAGTTTCAGTGCACTATCAATAGAAATTTAATATAAGCCATTTTCTTCTGCTGCTGTCAGTCCCGTTAATTTGTCATTATCTACTTTAAACGGACCTTTAATTTAATTTCTACTTTCATCTCGAGGTGGAAAGTACTCGCGAAAATTCCATCGCAGATCTTGCAGACGCTGGCTAAAAAATTCCAAGAATTTATTTGATAATTTTTCATCAGCAGATTCCAGGGAGGTCTTTAGGTTTGAAAAAGAATCGAAATTTCATTTTGATAAGCGACGAGCCCACGGTTTCAGCGTTTTGATCATTCCCTCGATCTTGCCTTTGACATTAAAAATTCTGATGCCATCTACTTGCATGCTCCAGTTGAGTGCATTTAAATTAGCGAAGATGTTCGCCTAATTCTTCTGGCATCTTCTTAGTGTCTAATGAATGCAACATTGATGCCATATATCTGAAGGGATATTTCCCCTTATTCGTGCAATGAGTCCAGTTAGTCTCCCAGACATGGCACCTGCCCTATCTGTGCTGATTCCTACGCATTTCGACCATTGAATTCCACTTGACGTCAGAAATTAATTCCAACTCTTATACCCTTCTTCAGCAACGGTATGTGTCAAAGAGCGGCAGAACAATAAATCTTCAATTATTTTTTCCTCAATTTCGTATCTAACTTAACAATACACGAGATTTGTTTGTTAAGTCCATACTCTCATCCACCTTGTAGGCTATAATTCTGACTGTTTTTCTTACGTTGTCTGAAATCCACAGTTCGTTTGTTTACTGTGCCGTTAGACAGTGACACCAAATTCAAATCTTTCACTGATTTTTCTCCGACCATTGCACTAACCATGGCTTTAGCAGCTGGTAATATTAGTCCTTCAGCGATTGTATGAGGTTTTCCAGCTTTAGCTATGAACATGGACACCTCATACGACGTTTTCACTGCATTTTAATTGCAAGTACCCGTTGCGATATTCTTCGTTAGTTTCCTACTTTGTCGGAGCTCTCGTTCTTTAATCTGAGGCAAAGAAAAGGAGATTACGAAAATGTTCTCACTGTATCGATTTTTGGTAGGAACTCGAACATGAGCTGTCTTTATCTCCACTTTCGGCAAATGAGATAGGTAACAGAACAGTACTTTAACCTCCGAATATTTCTGTTTAATTTCTTTAACCTTATTTTTCTCAAACTCCTTTTCTTTTCCTATAAATTCGTGTTTTATGTAACAAATCGTCTAGGCGTGTAACGAACTTTAATGGCCAGATTATATCACCTTTTATTCTCATTTTATCCAGAACAAATTATTCCTGAAGATTTCTGTCTTCTGGGTTGTTGCGCTGTCTAGTCTGGTCGATGTTTACCAACGTTTCAGAGGTCATACTACCTCCGTCATCAGGGCGATGAGTATGAAGATGTGTCTTCTGGGTTGTTGCGCTGTCTAGTCTGGTCGATGTTTACCAACGTTTCAGAGGTCATACTACCTCCGTCATCAGGGCGATGAGTATGAAGATGTGTCTTCTGGGTTGTTGCGCTGTCTAGTCTGGTCGATGTTTACCAACGTTTCAGAGGTCATACTACCTCCGTCATCAGGGCGATGAGTATGAAGATGTGTCTTCTGGGTTGTTGCGCTGTCTAGTCTGGTCGATGTTTACCAACGTTTCAGAGGTCATACTACCTCCGTCATCAGGGCGATGAGTATGAAGATGTGTCTTCTGGGTTGTTGCGCTGTCTAGTCTGGTCGATGTTTACCAACGTTTCAGAGGTCATACTACCTCCGTCATCAGGGCGATGAGTATGAAGATGTGTCTTCTGGGTTGTTGCGCTGTCTAGTCTGGTCGATGTTTACCAACGTTTCAGAGGTCATACTACCTCCGTCATCAGGGCGATGAGTATGAAGATGTGTCTTCTGGGTTGTTGCGCTGTCTAGTCTGGTCGATGTTTACCAACGTTTCAGAGGTCATACTACCTCCGTCATCAGGGCGATGAGTATGAAGATGTGTCTTCTGGGTTGTTGCGCTGTCTAGTCTGGTCGATGTTTACCAACGTTTCAGAGGTCATACTACCTCCGTCATCAGGGCGATGAGTATGAAGATGTGTCTTCTGGGTTGTTGCGCTGTCTAGTCTGGTCGATGTTTACCAACGTTTCAGAGGTCATACTACCTCCGTCATCAGGGCGATGAGTATGAAGATGTGTCTTCTGGGTTGTTGCGCTGTCTAGTCTGGTCGATGTTTACCAACGTTTCAGAGGTCATACTACCTCCGTCATCAGGGCGATGAGTATGAAGATGTGTCTTCTGGGTTGTTGCGCTGTCTAGTCTGGTCGATGTTTACCAACGTTTCAGAGGTCATACTGCCTCCGTCATCTACCAGACTACACATCCCAGGAAACTGAAATTTTCATACTCATCGCTGTGAAAACCTCAAATCTTACAAGTTATTTTTGTTATCGGAATGGATTCGAAGCGGATTGCATTTGTTATTGCTCTGACTCATTTCCCAGTCTGAATTTTTGTGAATTCGTTGCCAGCTACGTGTAGATTGAATTGATGGATAAATGGGGAGATGAAATGGAGTAAGGGCTTTTTACAGTTTGTCGGGCACCTACGTTGTTTGGAAGGCGTCTTAATTCTAACGTAGTTTGTTGTTATTACCCTAAAAGCCTATAGTACTATGTGATCCTGTCGTTTGCTGATTAGGGTTTAAAAAAATGTTCGTGTTTGTGATTTGCACGATAGAAATAATTACAACATGATAAAGAGTTGTACACACATTGTCTCGATTCTGAAGGGTTCTGACGGTGTTTTACAATGTGGATTACTGAGTTTCTTGATTCGTCCATCGTCTGTTATTGTGAAACACGCATCGTTTCGAAAACTGGATGCCTTCGTCTTCAGGTATGAGGAAGAGAAGCACCTATTTTAACTAACTCAACAGAATAGCTGCCCCTCCCACCTGACACCAGAGGACAAAGACATCCGGTCTTTGAAACGTTCTGTGTCTTTGGAATACCAGACGATGGATAAGTCCAAATACTCAGTAATCCATGCTGCGTTTTATCATTACGTTCAGAGGTTTAAGCATATAATTTTCAGACAGACTCTGCCAGTGAGTGTACATGTGAATTTAGGGGGTTGCTATGGTAACAGTCGTGTCGAATGTACGGTAATCTGACGAATAAAGCGGGCGATAATCGTAGTATGTACAGGGCAAAATTCCACGCCGCGTTTATGTAGCTGGGTCATGTTTAAATGGCAGTTCTGCTGACTGTCTGCTGCAGTCGACGTGACTCCAGTATACAGACTGCCATGAGAGAGTATAGATGGCAGGGAAGTAAAACTACAGTACTTGTCACCAGATGGTGTTAATTCGACGCCTTGACTCCGATAGTGTTCAGATCTCACAGTATTGGTAAAATGGAGACGATGAGAAATATCAGCTTCTGTAGCGGAAATCGAACCTCTTTCGTCAAGCCCAGAGCCTCAGTTATCATTTCGTCTGTTGTGTACTTTAAACTCAGAGTAAATCATGGTGGTTAGATCGACGTACTAATGCAGTTCCAAAAGAGAACAACATATTTGGTCAACTTTCTTTAACAAGGCTTATAGAAGGTATATCGGAAATTAGATATTTAGGTAGGTCTGCTTAAGTCAGAAAATCTCTCTTGAAACACTGAGATAGACGAATCTTTATCTTCGAAATATAGTACAATACAGTACATAAAATTAAATAATTAATTGTTAAGCTTGCTTTGGATGGTAGCCCAAACTTTTGCCTCAAATAAACACGGAGAAGTTTATTGAGACAACCGTGTGTTGAAATAAGCCGTAACATACTTTAAACACATTGTAGAAATATATTAAATTCGCTGCCATCTTGTACTAGAAACGTAACTGTACTGTAGC